GGAGAAGGAGTGTGAGCGGGAGCGTCAGGAGCGGGTTAGGAGCCTGCGGGCCAGCCTGGAGGAGTACACCCAGAGGATCTATGAGCTAAGTGCCCGGACTGAAGCCCTGCAGGAGGAGATCCAGTGGGAGATGGCCGAGAGGGCAAAGAGGGGGAAGGAGACCCCTGTGCCCAGCCCCACAGAGCTGGAGGACATGGCCGCCAAGATGAAGAGGGACCTGGAGGCCAAGGTCAAGCAAGGCACCCAGCTGGAGAGCAACCTGGCCAGCGTGGAGAAGGCCCTGGAGGAAGCTGAAAGGAACCTGCAGGTAGAAGGGGATGGGTTGAGTAGCCCTATAGGGTGGTGGTACCTTCGGGAGGGGATGGGACCAGCTTTCCAGTGGCATGGGGCTGCTGGGTTGCGCGGGTTTGGCCCTGCCCCACGTGGCCGGTGAACGTGGGACTGGGTGCACGGAAGTGGCTCAGTGGCAGTGACTGCTGTGGAGGGGACACCACCACTCTTGCCCAGGTGGCGCAGGGTCTTACACCCATTGCTCTCCCTGCAAGCTGTGTCTGGTCGGGGGCTCCTGCTGGCTCATGCATGGGGAGCACAGCATTACCCCACTCCGGCATGGATGATGGTGCTGGAGCAAATGGTTCATGTGCAGGGTCTGTGACGTTGGTGGAAGGGTCGATGCCACCTTGTATAAAGGAGTCATGGAGGGGCATAGCGTTGGTCCCCAGAGTGCCTGTGCATGAAGCCTTTTGACCGTGCAAGCTGTGCAGGGCCTCAGGCTCCTCACGGGGAGCTGCGCAGCGTGAAGACGGCAGCCATGGGGCTGAACCGTGATGCTCCCCTGCTTGCCTGTCCCAGCCCCCCCAGCACCAGGGGGGCTAGGTGCTGCCTAGGGTCCCCTTCGGTGGAGCAAAAGGGTGAAGCTTTTGCCCAGCCAGGCGGTGATAGCTGCCCTTCCCCGGGACAGCATCTCCTCTTCAGCATCATGTTTTCCTCCAGCATCTCCCAGCATCGCGGCGGCCGCCGGCACCCTCTGCTGGAGACACAGCACAGCAGGGTCGCTCCCAAAACGCTGCCTTCCTTGTCCCCACCGCCCAGGCACCCAGCTTGCCCTCAGAGAGGGGTGGCCAAGCTGTGGTGCCCCCGCGGTCCCCTCCCGCAGCTCTGGCGGGGTGAGCCCCAGCTGGGGGAGCATCCCCGGGGAGGGTACACCAGCTGGTTTTGGGGCATGGCGGGGACGTGCGGCTCACCCTGTCCCCCCCGTGGTGTGTGTTTTGCAGGCCCAGACCCAAGAGCTGGAGGAGTTAAATAAGGAGCTGAGGCAGTGTAATTTGCAGCAGTTTATTCAGCAGACGGGGGCCACGGTGACTGTCCTGCAGGCCAGGTCCGAGGAGGACGCCCAGCCGGAGCCGAGCCCGCGCGAGCTGCCAGCCTGCCGGAGACACGGAGGTCAGCCC